CCCCAAAACCCCAAAACCCCAAAACCCCTTGTTCAAGAATATTCCTAATCTTAATTTAGTAAAATTGAAAAGATATAATTTTTGAATTGAGAGAAAATGAGTGATATGCTTGATGATAGTTAACTAAATGGAAATCCAACAGCAGGAGTGACTGAAAGTGAAAATGTAACTTTTAACATTTATTGATGAGAGACAAGTATTGAATTCATATATATAGGACTGGTTCTTTGATTTGATCATTACTTTCTTAAAGAGTCCAAGATGGAAGACCCCTATATTGAGTTTTCTAGATGAACACTGTGTTATCTTTGATAATGATGATGAAAATAAACTAGAATACACCATTATACATAATGTATCTATAATTAAATAAGTAAAACTCTGTAGGATTTTAAAAAGATCGTTGATGAGCTCTTGTGTGAGCTGATGGCTGAGTTAGACATTACTTAGGAGTAGTTTATGGAAGCTTGTGATAAAGCATAGGAGAACCCAATTCATAAAAAAGTTGTTGATCAGTTGATTGCAGTCGATAACTTTATGGCATTTAGGAAGTTGATGATCAAAAGAAATTCAGAACTAAACGAGGAGGCCTTGAAATTAATGTTGGAAAGAGAGCAAAAACAAGTTTAGTTAAAATTAGCAGAATAGATCACTTAACAACAAGAGCAATAGCAGTAGCAAAAATAATAAGAGACTGTCAATCCAACATAAACAGCTGGAGGAACCATAATTCATTAAGGAGTGGATCTCGAAGAATTGAGAAGGGAGTAGATGGAATATGAGCTCGCTCTATAAATGTCTATGGTCCAAGAAGAAGAGACTAAGCATCAAGATTTAGAAGAGGAGGAAATGCTAAAGATGGTTATGGAAATGAGCATCAAAGAAGAAGAAGCAAGAAAAGCAAGAGAGGAGGAAAAAGAAGTAGAATAGAAAAAATAACTAGAAAAGATTGAGAAGAAATCATTAGAGGATCATGAACTTTAATAGAAGAGAGCTTAAGAATCAGCAAAGATACTAGAAAAGGCTTAGTAAGAAAGTCTAAAAATTGAAGCTAAAGTAGAAGTACAGTAAGAGGAGCTACAGGTATAACAACAAGTTTAAATAAACACATGTACAGCTGTTTAAGAAGAGGAGAAGAAAGAGTCTCCTAAGAAAGAAAAGACTATCTCAGCTCCTAAATAATCTTATAATCTTCCACCAGTTTCCCTGAAGAAAGGGGGTGGTGCATTTGATCCGGACCTTCTTAAGGATCAGAAGAATTAAATACTAAAAGGATTGAATAGTATGGACGAGGAACTAGCATTACTAGAAACTAGGAAAAAGAACGATGACTTTGATGGAAAAACAATGGCTGAGGTTCTTAAGTAAAAAAGAGAGGAAACTGAAAAGATCCTTGAAAATACTAAGATCAACTAGCAAGAATCAATGGAGGATAGAAGGTTAAGACTTAGAGCAAATAGAGATATGCTTTTGAAGATGAAAAAGGAGTAAAGATAGCAAGAGTTGGATGATTTTAAAGGCAAAGTCTCAAACAAACAGGACTTGCACAAGGAGCTCAAAGAAATTGATCAAAAAATTAAAGCAAAAGAACAAATAAAGAAGATCGAGGAGAACTTTGACTTTGAGACAATGGAAGGTTCAGAATAAGATAAGAGACTTGCTTTGTATAGAAATCTTAGAGAAAATCTCTAGGCCGACATATCAAATGCATCCCAAAGTGAATAGAGAGCAAAAATGGATGAAGTTAATAAGAAGATTCAAGCCCTAGAAAAAGCAAAGAAAGAAAGAGATCAAAGAGATCTTATCTAGAAAGAAGCTATCGAGCAAGCAAGACAAGATAAAAACAAAGGATTCCTAAGCGGAATCAAATCATATAGTATTGAAGATATTTGAAGAATTTAGATGCTTTAGATTATCATAGAAACTTAGTTATCCAAGTAATTATTTGAATTATTATGCTACTCAAAGACAAGAAAAGAAACACAAAGTGATACATGGGGTTTTGGGGTTTTGGGGAGATCGGAAGAGCACACGTCTGAA